GAAAGAGAGAGACAGGGACACGGTCTCCAGTGTCAGACTCCGGCCACACAGGGGTCCAACTTTCAGCCCAAGAGCATCCTGGAAACTTCATGGCATCAAAAGCTCTGAAGTGCCATATAAACATGGATTGCCCAGAACTTTCAGAGAGGATGAGGCAACTCACAACTCACAATATTTAGACTCACCTAAGACACAATCAAAATTTGTGTGTGTGTGTGTGTGTGTGTGTGTGTGTGTGTGGTTTTACATTTTTGCCATAGGCCATGGGTACTCACTAGAGACAGAGAGGGAAAGTGAGAAATCACCCCCTCGACACATACATACACACACACACACACACACACACACACACTCCAGGGTCACACCACAATGCCTTTTCCTCCATTCTTCTCCTGGTATTTTGGACACGTACACACAGTTGTCCAGTATATTTTTTAAGCCACTGGGGTCTGGGACTTGAACTGTGGGCTGTGGGGTTGGCCATACGGAATTCAGTGCCTTAACCACAACGTCATCTGTTGGTCCCCAAACTTGTGCTTTCGAATGCCATTTAAAGTACTGATAGAAAGCTGGGATGGTGCTGGGAATAACCGCCCAGCCCCTGACCCAGGCAGTGCTCTATAGCCATGGTGACCTTGCCTCCCAGCATGCCCAGGGCCTGCCTTCTTCGACACCACCAGACGTCCAGCTGCTTCCTTGAGACCTGGCTCTTTGTCCAGAGTCCACACATCCCTCCCCACTTCCTTTCTCACAGCACAACTTCCTCTGTCTTTTCATACTATTTCGAATCTTCTTAATACTTGTCTTTCTGGAAGGTGGAGGAGAGACTCCACAGAGAAAGCCCCAGGCTTAATTGTGAGGTCTGTCACTTGCTAGCTGCAGGCCTGAGCAAGCTGGAGCTCGCCAAGCCCTGGATCCTCATGACTCTATCAGGACGGAGAGAGGGTGCCTATTTTAAAAAGATACAAAAATCAGTCAAGGAGATCACACCCCCAGTGTAGCCTCATGCAACTTATCTGAGTCCATTCAGTGTTACTCAAAATACATCAAAGGTCAAATGAGACAGAAAATGACCTCAAACCTTAACATAAAGCCACCTGGTAAACATCTGAAAATTAAGGTCTGTAGGCTCAAAGCGCTGACTAGTCTGCCTCAGAACAGAGACGTCCTGTGGACTTCTCACTGAGCACCATGGTTTCAGAAGCTCAGAACCGTAGCCTGGGATCAGCCGGACCACTGGAGCAGATTCTGGTGCTGTGGCTTTGCACTTCTCAAGAGAAAGGCTTGAGTATTGGTCTTGAAGTCTGCCACTGGGAGGTGGGGCGCAGAGGGGGGCCTGGGGGCTGCTTGTAGGAGCCATCACTGGCAGAACTGATGCTATTTAATTTTTATGACCTTTATTTAGACACTCACCCATTTTCCTCCCTTTTCCCTCATCTGAGATGAGGGCATACATTCGCCAACACAGAAATTTGTAGAAATGAAAAAGCACAAAGGAAATCAAACAGCTCTCACTCTTCTGAAGTGGTCCCTAGTCCCCACGGACACAGTGTAGAGTTGGCCACTCCCCGCGGCCTTGGCTGAGGACATTTTCCCAGTGACTGGGCAATGTCCTCGCCAGGTGACATCTTCGGTCCCTTGTTTAGAGCCACACCCAATAGCAACGGACACCTCACCCTCACGCCCAAGAGTCATGACAAATGGCCCCAGGGAGCTCGGGGCGAGACAGCAGCTCACAGGCCTTTCTTGCACAAGGTCCCTGTCTGGGCCCTCTCAGCTGCAAAGTCGCACTCATCACAGCCCCATCGCCTGGGGGTGCATGTCATCTTGCCCTTCCCTGATCCCCCGGGATCCAGAGAGTGAAACAAGGAGAGCTTTCTGCTGTTCAGTGGCCAACCATTCCCATAGGACGGGGCGTTCCTGTGGTTACCTGCGGTCTACAGAGCACATGGCGTCTTACCTGCTGACCAGGACTTGCTGGGCCCAGACTGAACCATGTCTGAGTCCAGTCCTGAGTGACCAAGGTCAAGTGACTTGACTCATCTGAACCTTGTTCCCTTAGTATTTATTTTTTTTTTAATTTTGCCAAAGGCATGTGCACTTGCCAGAGAGAGACAAGGAGACAGAGAGAGAGGGAAAATGAGAAAGCACCCTTCGCGGGGACTGATCAGGTTGCAATCCTGTCTTTGTCTCCTCTTTCGGGGGAGATTTAGGGCATGCACACCCCCGCGCCCAGCATTTTCCTCATGCTGCTGGTCCAGGGCTCAAATGGCACAGTGGGATTTTACCACAGTCGCTTTTACCACCACTGGCTGGCCTGCCTTGTTCCCTGTCAGTATCAAACATGGACAATCTTTGGAACCGACCGCTTAGCTTAGGGAAAACAGAAGCTCAGGGCCTGGAAACAATCTCTGAGAAGACGGCATTTACCACATCCCCCCATCACTAGCTACTCCCCACGTTACCCACAAATGGGCAGGGAGAGGAGGTCCATCCATTCACAGAATCACTTTGACACTGAAACAGGTCTGAGGAGCCATCTGGCCCAAGCATCCCCTTAATTTGGGGATGCCATTGCAGGGGCCACAAATCCTACCACCTTCAGGGACCAGGCAGACCATCCCTGTCAGACCAGTGCACGATCACACGGAAAGAGAACCCACAGGGGCGTGCTCTACCCGAGGGCCTCAAATCCCCTAACTGTCGGATGTTATTCTGGCTAGCGTCCCTGCACGCATGCCTGAGTGAGCGAGGGACGCTGGCACCTACATGCTGACCAAAGGCCATGAGCTTGTGGCCTGTGACCAGTGGGGCCCACGTTGGATGAACCTCCAGCCTGGTCCTGGACCAGCACCAACTTTGGGCTGCATTGGGAATATGCCGAGGGACTGGAGTTGGGGTCTATGCGTTTATTTTCTTTTAATTTATATGTATTTATTTCTTCCTTAAATGAGAGAAACAGAGAGAGACTGCACCCCCAATAGAGTCTCGATGCTGCAATCTCCCCAAGCCTTGAGCCAACCCCAATCACAGGCGGGCCCTAGGATACTCAGGGAGGTCGCTGGATATGACCCCAGGACCTTCCTGTATAGGTCAGCCCCTCAGACACGACTCTTAGCTGTGGAGCCACCCCCTGACTCCTAGAAGTAGTTTAAGCTTTGCTCTGGCCCTGAGGAGCTGGCTCAGAACCCCGTCACGGGTGTGAGGATGCAGGCCATCAGCTCTCACACCTGCCCTCTGCCCTCACCATGGCTCCTGCCCCAGCAGGTGCATTCCGGGGTCTGAGCGGCACATTTACATGTCCTCACCCCCACACAAACGCATGCACACTGTCGCCAGGACTGTCACCTTTCTCAATCTTGCTGCCCCTGTGCCGGAGCGGATGGCGTCCATCAGGGCTTGCCTGGCGTCCGCTGGGGTGTCGAGGGTGCCTGTGCTGAGCCTGGATGCTGGCTGTGACGTGGAGAGAGCCTGGGAGGCTGGAGGGGGCGGGGGTGGCAGGGCCGGCGGGGGCGGAAGGCCAAGGTCTTCTTGGTGGAAGTTGTCAGAACCCTGTGTAGACAGCATGGCCTCTCGGAAACCCTGGAGTTCCTCAGAGGCGTGTGACGACACCTAGCAATGAGATGGTGATGTGATTGCCATAGAATGAACGTCCACATCCCCAAGTTCAAGTTCACGTGCAGGAATCCTGCCCGGAGGTGGAGGTGAAGGCATCAGGAGGTGAGGCCTTGGGAGGCGATCAGGTCCCGAGTGTGGAGCCCTCGTGAATGGGATGACCACCCATACAGTGGACCCCCGAGAGCTCCCTCGCCCTCCCCATGTGAGGACTCCAAGTCTGCCAGAGCCTCGACCTCAGCCTTCCCAGCCTCCAGAGCCATGAGAGATACATTTCTGTCATCTACAAGCCACCCCATCTGTGGCGTTTTGTCCTAGCAGCCCAAACAGATTCAGGGACAGTGTCCGCAAAAGAGGACACTGAGAGGGCCGTGCACAGCTGAGTATCTTAACCGCAAATCTGAAATAGCTCGTCTGCAGGGAGCCCAGGCCAACTGTCTGCTGGCGGCTGAGACATCCGCCCCCGCGCTCTGCCTGCAGCCAAGCCACGGTCCCGGAGACCAGGATTTGGCGTTGGTGCTTTACTGAGAACTCTCTGATCTCGTAACTTGTCTCGACATGAGGTTAGAAATACGAGCTGGACACACAGATCTGATCCGTTGCTTTGGGGGAGGACACACACTCAACACCTGATGCCTACAAACAAGTCTTCCTGCTCCTCAGAGAGCGTGGAGCTGTGCAGGGCGCATCCTGTGCCTGAGGCAAGGCCGCAAGGGCTCCAGGGCGCTGCAAGGCCGGGCCTAGGCGCTCTATACGGACCCTGGTGGCCTGCTCCCTAAGTCTGAAGCCATGCTGGTGTCTGAGGGAACTTGGGAAGTGCTCAGAGCTGGGTACAGGTCAGTTCTACCTTCAGACAAGGGTGGAAGTTTCTGGAAACCCTGTTCTTCCTTGGCAGGGGCTGCCCCAGGCTCTTGGGCCTGGCAGTTGGGCTTCCCTAATGGTGGTTTGCCATCCAGAGCAGGAGGCTACAGTGTCCCTGGGGTTCGCTGGGGAGAGGGGTGAGTTTGAACCTATTTCTCTGGGCAGATTCTCCTCTTCTTACCTTCCTCAAGCTGCAGGTGCCGCTGTGCCCTCGGATGGCCGCGAGCAGGGCGCATCGTTCACCCTCTGCCTCCGTGAAGGACGGTGTCTTTGGCCCTCCCAGTGAGGTCTGTTCTGCAGTCTAGATATTAAGAGAATCAACATGTGTGAGGCACCGCAGAGAAAACCAGTGCCTGCCGGTGAGGCCCAGGGGGCCGATTTCACACTGGCAGTTAGCACAGGGATATGAGAATCAAGCCCTGTCTTTGGGAAGCAGCGAGTGACGGCCTCCGAATGGCGACTGTCTCCTAGTGTTCGAGGGCCTAGTGTTGCAGACCTGGGTGGGAATGCCAGGTCCCCACCAGCGCGTACTGTGAGCTTGGGCCTCGCCACTCGGCCTCACCATGCCTCGGTTTCCCAGTCTGCGAATGCACAGCAAACATCTCCTAACAGTCAGTGCTGATGAGCGATTAAAGGAGAGACCTGCAATGTGTTAAGTGCCTCGGTCATTCCTATTGTTATGGAGGAATGACAACAGGCACTGTTACAAATACACAGGCAGGAAAAGAAGGGCTCTGCGGGACTTTGCTTATGACCCTTCCATTGTTCAGGGCCAGAGAAGGGACAATCCCACCTGCTTGTCCACTCCCCTGGCCCAGTGACTGGACATTTATCGCTGATGTCTCTTGCAGGGCAGCCGGGGGCCTGAAGTCCATGGGGACGAGCCTAAAATTCACTGAGTTCAGTCTTATTCACCGATTTTAGTCTTGTGAGTGGTTCTAGTCAAGTACTCTGGAGGGAGTGAGACAGAAAGTTGAAAATGAAACCTCTGTCACACCTTGCTGGTGTGGTGTCCTGTCTCTTTCTCTTCTAATTCTGTTTTCTTTTTCAATTGCCAAAGAGTATATGGGCTCACCAGAGACAGGACAGAGAAAGGGAGAGGAAAAAAGCACTCCCCCCTCAATGGCATGTGATCACGCTGCAATCCCTTCTCCTGCATTTCTTTATCCCGTCAGGATTTGGGGCATGCATGCACACGTGTCCACGAGGGCCAGGATTACAAGTGTGGCTGGCTATGTGGTGGCCAGTTCTCTTACACACCAGGTCATCGGCTGGCCCTCCTCTGATCCTGTTCTAAGACTCTAAGGTCTGAGCACCTACATGGACAGGCAGTGGTGGGGGCCAGCAAGTGGCACAGAGGTTAAGGTGGCTGGATCCCACATAGCCAACTGTACAGTTCAAGTCTTGGACCTGTGGTTTGAAAATCATGGTGGGCACATGTGTGTACATGCTGAAAATCCCAAGAGGAAAATGGAAGAGAAGGGATGGCTGTGTGGCCCTCCTCCTGGGGGGTGATGTTTTCCTCTTCCAGAACACAGGCACCCTAGAGCAATAACTAAAGAAAATAAACAAAGACAGGCATGGTGCAAGAACCAATCAAGACCTCCCTGGGCACGCCCCTAGTGGCTGCTGGATTCACCTTGCGCAGCCTGTCCTTCCCTCCAGCGGAGTGGATGGCTTCCATTAGTGCGCTGTGCAGAGATGTGTCTTTTGGGGCTGGCCTCTGGACAACAGGTCTGAATTTTTTCTTTGGCCCAAAAATGCTAGGTGGCAAAGCCCCATCTGTTTCAGGCACATCCGTGGAGAGCAAACGGAGCCTCTCCTCTGTCTCCAGGCCGACGTGGCTCTCAGAGCCACACACTTCCTGGGAGCGAGGCAGCCTGCTGCCGCCTGGGGCCCACCTGGCTCCGTTCACCAATGTCCCGCTGACTGGGGCTTTTGCTGAGCAGGCAGTGGGAGGGCTGGCACTGGCCAGAGTGCTGGTGGGGTCAGCTGTCGAGTTGGGCTTTCTGTCACTGGTGCTTTGCTTCCTGTTGAAACCACAGCTCTGGCCCACAGAAACACGATCCCTCTGGGAAGATCCACCCAGTGGGAAACAGGAGCTTCTGTGGATGCCAGAAGGACTGTCCTGGGCCGAGACCTGGCTGGACGGGCTGCTGATGTCCCCTCTAGGGTGGGTCCCGACAGCCGCTTCTTCTCTGCGGTTGCTGGGAAGGATGGCGCTGGGGGGCTCTGCCCCTTCTGTGCGTCCTTGTGTCTCCACGCAGAGGTCAGTGGGTTGTCCGGTCGGCTTTGGCACTCTGCCTTCGCAGCCCTGCCCGGCGTCACTCTGGGGCTTCACCGTGTCAGTGTGGGCTTTCGCGGGTCCTATCCGCTTGGCAATAGCAGAGGCCACATACTGGCTGGACGTTCTTCTCTGAGGCTTGAGAAACACGACCTCTTTGCTGTTCACAGATGGCACTTTCACGTGACAGGAGATGGCTGTGGGCTGCTGGCTTCCCCCTTCTACCAGGTGCCTCCTGTCTCCCTGGGGAGCAGAGAGGGGCAGCGCAGGTTTGGGGTCTGCTCTGAGCCTGTCCTCTGGAGGCTGTGGCTGCGCTGGCAGGGTGGCGGAGGCGGTCTTCTTGGCTGGGCACCGTGGGGGCCAGTCTGTGGGTTTCTCCATAGAGTTGCACCTCCAGAACTCTTTGACTTTCCCAATGGGCTGAGCTTCTCCTTCGAGAAGGGCCGATGGCAGGGAGATGACCCTGCTGCCATTCACATGGGGGTTTACCAGGTTCCCCAGCTCATCGATTTTGATGGCACCCACGGAGAGAGACGCGTCTCTGTCATAACACCTCCTCTCTGACCTGGGAGGGACGATTTTATACGTAGTAAGGCCATATTTCAGACCATAACTGCCCCCTGGGCTCTGGCCTCGTTGGTACCATGGCGGAGGTGCCGAGCCGACAGTTTCATGGTGGCCATCGTTTTCATTTACTGTCTGTGAATATGCTCTCTGGGAGGCCTGGGTCTTCTCACTCTGGGAGGGGTCAGGGGTCTTGCTTTTCTCCTTCACATTTAGGTTGTCCGGGGGAAGCTTCGAAGCCAATGATGTCGCCCTGCGTCCTGTGTCATTTGCACTTCGGTCTCGACAGCTATCGGACGAGGCCAGCTTGATTATCTTTCTGGGGTCATGAGAAGGAGCGGACAGCCGGGGTGCCTCCTCCCTCGCCTTCACGAGTTGCTGGCCGTCCTCAGGCTGGGATGGGGGCAGGTGGGCCCTCCTGCTGGCGGTGCCCTCCAAGTCAAAAGAGCCAGCATTGTTGTTTCTATTGGAAAATGATCCCAGGTCGACAGGGTCATCTAGAACCTCCCCGATGAACGTTACTGGGATTGTATCCACATCGCCACATCCAGGGATGAGGGCCTCCTGCGCGCAGGGGCTGGGCGCGCCATGGAGAGAGCTGGTCAAGGAACTGCTGTCAGTTCTGTAACTCCCTTCCATTTCTGCAAAGAAGGACAGGCACGGTCAGCGTGGCACCCGTGTACCATCCCACACCATCGAGGCTCTCTTGAGGGTACTTTTTGTGTAGGATATTTACATATGTATTTATTTGTTTCCAGAGGGCTTGTGCACTTGCAAGGGGGAGGGAGGGAGGGAGAGAGGGAGAGAGAGAGAAGAACCCCCAATGGCGTGCGATCACACCACAATCTTTCCCTCCATTTCTCCATCCCATCAGGATTTCTGGCATATGCACATGTGTACCTAGAATAATTTTCAAGCCATCAGGTCTGTGATTCAAACTACAGGCGGCCATGTGGGATCCAGCTCTCTACCTATTGTGCTATGGGGATGGCCATATATATAACATTTTTATTTTATATATTTAATATTTAGATATATAAAACCTACAGAAGTTTGTTTCATGAGTGTGAAGGATAAAGAACAGAGAAAAGTAAAGAGACAGAGACAGAGATATAGCACCTTGGACAGGGCCTGAATGCTATGAGCTGTCCCCAGCTGCAGCCAGCCCTTGGATCAAGAGTCCCATGTGCCCAGCATCCTCGGGGAGGTCCCCTGACTTGAGATGGCGACCTTCCCATGTGGCGCATGCATTTTACAGCTGCACCACCACCAGGTCCCAATTAACACATAGTTTTAAATGTTATTTGGTCTGTAATCTGCACATGCCTAGGGCCACGATCTTAACTATTTCTTTTTCTTTTTGTAAAAGATTTTCACCATAGGGCACATATGGTCTTCAGAGAGAGATAGGAAAAGTGAGAAATCATTCCCCAGGGGCAGATGGCCACCCTGCAATCCCTTCTCCTCCATTCTCCTCTTGAGATTTTGGGCATTTATGTACACGCATCTGGCAAGATATTTAAGCTGCCAGATCTGGGACTCAAATCACACAGTTGGCCATGTAGGATCTGGTCCCTTCACCACCACACCAACAAAACTTATACTGTTCCTCAGAAGAACTGTTTGTTCATCTATGACATTTGAAGGTGAAGGATTCAGTTACAATATTTTACCAACACCCTTCATCTAAAAATCCCGATCTCTAAATCCAAACCACTGTCTCACACAGTCCATGAGAGTGCATGTGGGAAGCACAATGGGTTATAAAGGAGGATTTGCTCTAGCTTTAATGTCTTAGGGAGGCAAGAGACTAAGTGTGAGCACCCTGGAACTGTCACGACTCTTTAGAGCCAAATGGTGCCAGGGGCCAGGCGGTCAGAGCTGGGGCACAGGACGGCTGATTCAGAGTTTCCATATGTCCTCAGGACAGGAAACTGGAAGTCGAGTTAGACAAAACTACTGACCAGTTTGAAGTCTGTTTCCTCTCTCTTCTTTTCCTTTTGTTTTGTTTTGTTTGAAGCCATGACCAAAATCTAATTTCTAGTTTGTTTTCGATGTGTGCCTTGGAAAAAAAAAATATAGCTCCTTTGTTTGAAAAACTCCCTGGTTATTTACTGAACTTATTTCCATCTGCTTTGCCCTCATAATACATTTTCCCAAAAATGGATCATTAGAAGAGCAGTGTCATAAGATGCTGCATTATGAACAGTGCACTGTGACCAAAAGGTCATATGTTTCCCACAGAGATACGCCTTATATAAGCAAGAAACGAGTTGGAAGTCCTAATAAAAAACCTGTTTATCTTTGAATCATCCAGTGCTTCCCCAGCTTACTAGGTACTCTAGACCTTTTGTTGTTCTTTAATGTGCATGGAATACCTTGAAAAAAATTCTTCCTTCTTTCCCCCTTAATGCCAGAAGGTGTGTGCACTCACCAGATAGAGAAAGCACCTCCAAACTGGACTGCGGTATGTCCTGAAGACCTCTTCCTCATGTGCTTGTATCACACCGTGCTCAGAAAAAGTGACCTTTGGCATCTACTGCCATGTCACGTACTACGGAAAAGGAAGATCAGGAGTGCATACCTTCTAGGTCTTCATCAAGCTCTGCAAGGGTTTCATGGAACTGGCCAGTGATAAACAGGTCTTCATCATCATGTGAAGCCATGGCAGGTTTTTCAGTTCTAGGGAAGATAAGAGAGAGGAAGAGCACTCGTTTCTCTCATTATTTATTTATTTTTTTGTAATTTTGCCAGAGGGTGTGCGCTCTTGTCAGAGAGAGAGAGGTGGAAAGTGAGAAAGCACCCCCTGGGGGCGACGATCACATTGCAGTCCCCTCTCCTCCACTTCTTCTTCCTTTCAGAATTGTGGCTATACATGCACATGTGCTCAATGTGTTTCACTTAGAGTTCAAAGTTTAAGTTTTAACTCTACTGTACAAAGACTAGTTTAGGAATTTTCTTGCATTATCACATTGCTCTAAGCCATCACCTTTGCCCGGCACCTGGCATGAAGGATGAGGCCAACTGGATGCCAGGGCTTGCACACATGTACAGTGGCCAGGGGCTGCTCCATTTCATCCCTAGACGCTGCTCAGCCAGACTGTTCCTGGACACCTGTGGAGTTCCCTGGCAATGTCCCTCAAGGTCCAAGTGGTAAAGGCCATCCACTCTGGCACAAGGCACTGCTAAGTCTGCTGAGCTGTTCAGAGGCCCTTGGGGAGAGTTGTGTGGGGCTGCCTGATGGGGTGCTCCCAGGAACCAGCCCTAACTTCAGAAGCTCAAGCCTCCACCACCTTCTGCACCTACCCTAGCAGTGGCCCACCCTGTCAGATTCTGAAAAGGGGAGACATTTCACTCCCATTTAATAAAGAGCATCTCTACACTCTCTAATATGTCACTTTTCTGTAATTCCTTTATTTTTTTAAGAGAGATTTTTTTGCTATAGTGTGCATGTGCTCACCAGAGAGACAGAAAATGAGAAATCACCCCCCAGGAGGAATGGTCACACCAAATCCCTTCTTCTCCATTCTCCTTTCAGGATTTTGAGAACACATGCACACATGCCTGGCGGAGTTTGAAGCTGCTGGGTCCAGGACCTAAACCGCAGTTGACTATGTGGGAGCCCAGTGTTGTAACCATTATGCCATTGGCTGGTCCCAGCTTTTCTGTAATTCTTAATTCCTTCCCTGGAAATGTGATGTAGGGGCAGTGGCATGAGGGTGGCTTGGTATAAACTGCAGAGCTCCCTAGGCTCCTTAGCTGACATAAAGATATTGCCACCGCTGACAGCCAATGCTGCAGCATCGGGCACAGTAATGCCAACTCCCTTTGCCAAGGAGCCTCTCCTCAAGGGCCTCAGAGACATAGGAGGAAGCTCTTAGCAGCTTGGGGCCTACCTGGCATGCTTTTAAGCCAGAGCATATAGCCTTCACAAGCCGGGCCCTGAACAGAGCTTGTTCACAGATTATCTTATTATAAACTCACAAGCAATTTCCAAAGTAGGTATGACTGATTGCTCTTGTACAACTAGGAAGCTGTGAACAGAGACAACCACACCTGCCCGAGGTCCAACTGGCATCCAAACCCAAGCGTGCCTGCTTCAAAGCCCAGGGAGGTCCAGCCTAGCCAATCAGGCACTCGGGCAATGTCTGGGGGCACGAGGCACAGTGTGGTCTATAGCAGCACAGGACGTCCAATGAGATGTCAACATGCCAGCTCAGGAGAAGCAGATCCTGCCTTATTTGCGTCACAGGGACAATGGCATCCGTGAGACAACTGCTGCCAAAACAATTTGAAAACTGTCTTTGCAAGAGCTCTTGCCTCTATTTTCCTATTGTGCAGGAAACACAGAGACACATCTATGGCAATTGTCTGTCTCCAGTGAAAGCCGAAGGGTTTTTTCCCCGCTGATTGTTAAAATTGAGGGCCAATTTCCATCATTGCTAATCAGGCCCAGATAATGATGCATGGGATACGCCTTGCACAATCCTCAATTACGTAGCAAAGTTTTTATTCTGATAAATGAGTCTTTCTTACTTGGTGACTATGTGCACTGGGGAGCCAGGAAGTGGCTTCCAGATTCGTCTCAGCTAATGTCCTCTGACAAGCCAGACAAAAGGTTGGCTGGAGATGCATGTGCATGTGGGCCAATTAATAAGGACCATGAGAGACGCCCAATGGTCTTTCCTATTGCTCTTGCTTTGGACTTTAATTATTTGAATGCATCTTGCTAAAGCTGTGTTTTTCTCTTTCCTGAGTGTGATCATTGAAATAAATTAACATGTAAATATTTAATAAAACATCTAGCAGAGAAAAAAATAGAAATCGCTATATAATATTTGAGATGGAAAATGGACTACTTTTTAAGTACTTGTTTTTAGTACAGCATGTTTAAAACCCAGCCGAATAAAATTACATACATATTTTCACTTCAGAGTATTTGCTTTTTACTTCAAAGTATGCATGACCATGTCATTCTGATACAGAACAGAATATTAATGAAAACTAAAAATAATTTATAAAACTCTACTGATTTTGCCATGTTTTGAAATGTTAAACTAGCACACACACAAAAAAAATCACATGAAGTTGCTTAAGATGCAATGAATTGGAGACACCCAAACTTGTTGCTACTGCTTTTAACTAGAAAGAAATGCAGAAACAAACATTAAGAAACTAACGAAAATCACTTTATGTTTCTAAGAACTCTGGTCCATAGTCTTTCATGAACCATTTGCCTTAAAGACGTTAACTCCATAGGAGGAATGTAAACACAGCCACGTTCATTGTATCCATGTGAAGAATTCTCAGGCACTGCTGTGGATGTCAAAGAGCATTATGGTCGGAAAATGGGATGATCATGACGTCTATATAGAAATCCAGACAAATGCACCAGCTAGCATGTTACGTGAAAAATCAAGACATACCATTATAACGTGATAATTAGGAGACATAAAAATAACACAGGCCTATGGACCTGTGAGATTAGACAATAACAAACAAACCAGGGTGGCTTATTGAAGCCAATGAATCACAGCAAATATTTTATTATTGTTTTTTCCTCAGAATTGTATTTGTTTATTCTCAACTGAACTGGTCTAAGAAGTATTTCATGTTAGGTAAATTCTCTTTACAAGCCAAAGAATGTATAATGATTGCATGTGTAAAAAAAATAATGAGAATAAAAAAAATTGTGATTGTTTTAGCACAAAGCAGCTTGAGTGATTATGGCAGTATTTTTTCACATTTAAGCTGTTATTATATTTAATTGACCAGTAGTAATTGTGAGTATTTATGGTATGATATGGTATTTCTATACATGCATACGGAGTGTAGTGATCCAATTACGGTAATTAGCACACCATCACCTCAGTCCTTACTACCTCTTTGTGTTGATAATAGTCAAAATGCTTTCTTCTGGCGTTTTTTTGAGATATTCAATAAATTGTTACACACAGTTGCCCCACAGTGAATTCTCGAACTTATTCCTCCTATCTAGCTGTAGTTTATTTTACTTTTTTTTTTTGAGAGGTTTATGCTATAGGGCGCGTGCGCTCGCCAGACAGACAAACAGAGACAGAGAGACAGAAAGAGAGAAACCCCCAGAGGAGATGGCCACACCGCAATCCCTTCTCCTCCATTCTCCTCCCGGGATCTTGGGCACGCACGCACACGCTACTGGCGTGGGTTTTAAGCCACCGGGTCCGGGACGCGAACCACAGTTGACTACGTGGGAGTCCAGCGACTGGACGCTAACTGCTGGTTCCCTCTAGCTGTAGTTTTTTATCTACCAATCAATCTTCCCCAGTCCTTCCCAGCATCCTCCCAGCTTTTAGTAACACTATTTTACTAGGTTGAGGAGATCAGCTTCTTCAGCTTCCATATGTGAAAAAGAACGTGCAGTATTTCTCTATGTCTGGTTTACTTCATTTAACATAAGGCCCTCAAGAAAAATATGGGATGCTCTAGAGTGTTCACGTTATCCTCACGCAGGGTCCATGAGAATCTTTTTTACTCCTATTTTAGTATCTGTGCCCCTGAGGAAATGTCCCATGGTGCACCCAGGACTGGTAGCTCTAGCACATCTCCTGGCTCACTGGCACTCCATGTCGGTCTGAGTCTTTGGAACTGCATGACCCTCACTCATTCCAGTTTCACTTTTTGTCTTTCGATTTGCCAAAGGGCATGTGCTCTCACTGAATGGAGAGCGAGAGAGGGGAACAGCCATGCCGCAATCCCTTCTTCATTGTGCTCCTTTTGGGATTTTGAGCATGCATGCACACATGCCTGGCGTGTTTTTCAAGTAACTCAGTATGCGACTTGAACCAGGCAATTGGTCAAGTGGGATCCAGCTGGCTTAACCATGAGGCCACGAGTTGGCCCAATGAGTATTTTTTTTTTTTTGGAGAGGTTTTTGCTATAGGGCACGTGTGCTTGCCAGAAGGACAGAGGCAGGGAGACAGAAAGCTAGAAATCACTCCCTGGGGCGATGGTCATGCTGCAATCCCTTCTCCATTCTCCTCTTGGGATCCTGGGCATGCATGCACACGTGCCCAGCATGAGTTTAAGCCATCAGGTCCGGGACTTGAACCGCAGTTGACTACACAGGGGGTCCAGCGACATAGCCATTACGTCATCTGCTGGTCCTGCAACAGGTATTTTTTTAAGGAGCAAAGCTTAAAAAAATAGTGTGTCCTCTAGTTAGAGCATGTGTGCACGAAAGAGAGAGAGAGATAGAGAGAGACAGAGAGAGACACACACACACACAGAGAAAATATCTCACAATCCTTTTATGCTCCATTTCTCTATCCCTTCAGGATTCTGAGCAGTTTTCAAGCTGCCAGGTCAGGGTTCGAACTGTGGTTGGCCATGTGGGATCTGGCTCCCTCTGCCTGACACTTAGCTGGCCTGGGAGTTCCATTATCTCACTTTACTTAGTCACTGGGTGCCTCTCCACCCCAGTATGTGGCTATGAGGCTGTCAGTCATCAGTGAGAAGGCTGTGTCCAGGCCAGAGAGGTCTCAGCCATGCCATTCCTGTACCCTACAGAGCCTCAGGGCTCAGGTGCCCTAAGAAATGTCAGGGCTAACCCCAGGACTCTGGGCCTCTGAGCTGGTCTCCACGGTGTCTTGGTTTGGGGATGTTAGGCCTGGCCCTCTTTCTTTGCACCCACCCAGCCCCTT